TTATTATCGGGCACAACAGTTGTCCGTAAACATCAATGGACACGTTTAGTGACTCGAGACTTCTTATTTGAACAGAAAGGTTGTCAAAAAGTTCGCGGAAGGTTCTTACATCGCTTGACGTTTTGAGTGGTCTCATTGATAACAAATTTTTCATATGTCGGCTAATCAAAATATCTTCTCGCCCAAATCTGTCTTTAAGCAATTTTATAGCTTTCTCATAATTGTCCGCAGATAAAGCGAAACCTTCGACTGTGTTTAGTGCAGTTCCGCCGAGATGTGACTTCAAATAGTTAAATTTATCGATCGGGTTCAGTGAGTTGTTCTGGTGTATAGCTGCATCAAAAGAATTCCAGAACGTCAGCCATTCACTAAAGTTTCCATAAAATTTCGATATCATCAATTTCGGAAGTTTCACAGTCGTGCAGGAAGGTACATAATGTCTCATTTCATTTTCATCTATTCGTGAGTTCGAATTCGGTATATTTTCGCCATGAAAATCTGATTGGCGAATCTTTTTATTTGCCCTAAATCTCCAAGTAATATATTTCTCTCGATATTCCTCTACGCCCTGTAATTCCCTCTCCAAATCGTCAGTTTCAAGAAGCGTTTCTATTTCGTGATCCACTAATTTAAGTTCATTAAATGATTCATTCAATTGTTATAATAATTCTTCAAGATCAATTCTAATTAGCGTGTCAAGTCCACTTTCAATCTTATTGCATGTTTTCGTTAAATATGATCTGTTAATAGCACGCTTCTTCTTTAAACGTAGAATTAATTCTTCCGCCATCTTGTAAACAAAGCAGCGAGTAGGGTTAGCTAGCGAGTTCCAAAATGGTCAGCTTAAAATTATTTTTTTTTTCAGAAATTTACCTTCAACAGTCCCGGCTGGGATGCCAAAAATATTGCGATTTCACCGCCACTCTGTGTTGTGACGACGATCTAAGTTCTATAGAGGTAGTCGATCACCTCTATTCTTGGTCGGCGGGGTTGAAGGTTCAAAGTTTAGGTGTCGCTGCTTATAACACTTTTAAAATATTAGACGAAAACAGGAGGGAAAATTATATTTATTACAATTTAAGAAAATAAGTAAAGTATTATTTAATTAATTATATATTTAAATATTTACACTAAAAGAATCGGAGATCAGGGCAAATTCTAGTGTTCGAAAGTTGTTTACAAGTTCTTCTGTTATTGTTTCCTCATTTTTGCCGCTGCATCCCCGTAGCCGCTTCCGCCCGCCTCCCATTGGCTGCTTCGGACGTCTTCTTTTCCAACAACAATGATGAGGGGCCCAAGTCTTGGTCACCCACTTTGCATCCAAAGTAAAGTTCACAGCACTTTTTGATGAGCGGTGTAATGTTTCGCCTTTGAACTTTGAAAGTTAATTCTCCACAGATGTAACAGAAAGTATCTGGATTATTCATTTTGACACCGTCTTGTGTACACGATCTATAAAAACAATTTGATAAAATACGAAAAGGTAAATAAAACTATCAGTGTTGCAAAATATAAATCTCTATATATATAAAAGTCAATTTCTGTCTGTCTGTCTGTCTGTTTCGCGATAAACTCAAAAACTACTGAACCAATTGGCACCAAATTTTGCATGTCGCTTTTTATAAACCTGAGGAAAATTTTCGGCTGCATTTTGATTAGTATTTTTGGCTATTTCTTTTTTTCATTTGAAGAACTTTTTTTTACGCGGAGTAAATACGAGTCTTACGCGGAGTAAATACGAGGGAAAGTAACAACACGAGGCCAATTAACCGACCAATGAGCGTTCTGCATTTCTTTTCAAGTTGCTTGCGTACTTTTTTTAAAATATCTTTTTATACGAGTGTCACTTTTTTTTACAAAAGTATTGAGAGAGAAATTTATATTACTAAGTTTAGGTAAGTTCAAACAATTTCACACAATAAAAAAAAAAAAAAAACTTTACAAAATTAGCGTTACTGTATGTAAACAATGGCTTTCTTATTTTTTATTAATTTTTGTTCTGGCCTTTGTTTTTTTTTTACAGTCAATATGATAATTCTTAAAATTAAACAAACAATAGTCAATATGCAAAAAAATACAGTAGTGAAAATTTAATATGAATTACTGTCTCATTTAACAGCCAATACATGTGTTTGTCTAAAATTTATATTGCTAAGTTAAGGTACGTTCAAACAATGCAATTAACCCTCGAGCGCGCGCACTAAAAATGTAACGTACTTGCGCGCGCTGGGTGAAATTTACCCGATATTATAATTATATATTTTGAATATAAATATTAACTGAGGAAAAACAAAACCTTTTCTATTTCAAAGTAATAACATTTTAATTTTCAAAAAAAGGCAAATATTAATAAAATATTTATATTTTTTACACAGATTAAACATTTTAAAAACTATTCTTGAATAATCCTCAAAATTGGTAATCTCTATATATATAAAAGTCAATTTCTGTCTGTCTGTCTGTTTCGCGATAAACTCAAAAACTACTGAACCAATTGGTACCAAATTTTGCATGTCGCTTTTTATAAACCTGAGGAAAATTTTCGGCTACATTTTGATTAGTATTTTTGGCAATTTCTTTTTTTTTTTTCATTTGAAGAACTTTTTTTTTACGCGGAGTAATCCGGAATGGAATTAATACCCAAATATGGCCATTTTTATAAGCATCGGTGGTTCAGTGGTAGAATGCTCGCCTGCCATGCGGGCGGCCCGGGTTCGATCCCCGGCCGATGAATTTTTTTTTTTGCAATTTTTAAAACTCATTTATATTATATCTATTTACTATTTATTATCATTATCTATATATATATAAATGAATGTTTGTCTGTTTGTTTGTATGTCTGGTATACAATTTCGCAGTAGTTCACTAATTCAAACCAAAATTTCCATACATAGGTAAAAAAAATACGGGGAAGACGATAGGCTATTTTAAAAAATATATAAATCAATTATTAAAACTATATATTTTTAGTCAGAAAATGATGATGACGATATTGCTGTATCATGTTTGATTATCAGATGCAAAATTATATCGGGAAAAATTCCAAAAAGCAGAGACCACGGGAGAAACCAGTTCATTACTTTGTACGCAGGAACAAAATTCTAACAGAAAAACATTCATTCGAGCAGAAAACAAAAGCCAGATCATCTTTCTATAAAAATATCGCTTCTCAGACACAAAGTTTGGAGCGGGACGTTTCACAAGAGTGACATCCACGGCGCTAATTTATAATTGTAACGAATAGTATTTGAATAAAAACATTTAATCGGGTAAAACCCGGGCGTTGCCCGGGTCATTCGGCTAGTAATTTATATAAATAATGAATGAAAAAAAAATTTTAATAGATTAAATCTGCTATTTCCACTGCAATTCTACTAAGCAAATCGTTGGTTTACATTTCAAATTGTCCAAGCAAGAATAAACCCGCAGCAAATCTATCACCACAAGCTAATGAGGTTTAAGCAAAAAGCTTACATAACAATGTATTTATTATTTTTTTATTTATTACTGCGTGTTTTACCAAAAATAAAAAAAAGCTCTAGATCAGAAACCATGCGTTGTAGAAAAAAACTAATGATATATTTGGAATCATCACAAAAAGTCATATTAAGATCAGATATTGTTTCTTTTAGGCAAAAAAAAAACTTTTTTTTTTGTAGACCAGTGTTATTAGTGAATTGTTAACAAAAATTTCAAAAATGGTTTAATTTATTCTATTAATTAATAGATAAAAAACACCTTTTAAAAATATTTTATTTAAATGCACTAAAAAGGAAAAAATAAAAAAGTTTTAGGTTCTGCCATTGAGCATTTAGCTATATATGAATGAAAATAAAAGCGGCGGAGGATGATCATCATGAATTTCGAACTTGATGTGATTTATTAGGTAGCAACCAGTGCTGTAGTCGTAAAATTAGCATAGGGTATACGCTTGAGAATATAAATTTTTGGTAAAAATAAACAAGGTTATTTTTAATTATATTTTTATTTGAAAAAAAAAGACGTATTATATATTTGAATATAGTTGATATATTTTTCCCAAGAAATTTTTACTAAATGAATGAAATATTTTGTGTGAATTGTTAATTTGAAAATTTTTTGCAATTTTTCAGTACAATTTTTATCATCATTTTTTTTTTACTATTACAAAGAAAGAAAATAATAAATTTTTAATAAAAAATTTGAACAAAATCATAGGGTATACGCTATTTTTAAGTAAAACCACTAGGTATACGCTATCTAAATTTTAAAAGCATAGGGTATACGGCGTATACCCCCGTATACCCTCCACTACAGCACTGGTAGCAACTGATTAGCGATTTTGATATGTGTTACTAAATATTCACATTTTCTCTAAATATTATCTTCCCTTCCGCTTTTATTTTCACTCATATATATCTAAATGCTCTATAGCAGAAGCTACAATATTTAATTTTTTCCTTTTTAGTGTGCATATAAATAAAAGCTTTTTTTAAAGGTATTTTTCATTTATTAATTATTTTGTTAGTTTTTATAGTCGTGAATTTATACAAAACTTAGAGTTAAAAGTTGAAAAATATACGAAACCTCACTAAAATATATAAATACTAGCCGAATGACCCGGGCAACGCCCGGGTTTTACCCGATTAAATGCTTTTATTCAAATACTATTCGTTACAATTATAAATTGGAGCCGTGGATGTCACTCTTGTGAAACGTCCCGCTCCAAAATTTACATGTACATTAGGTCAGCTGGTATTACCCCCCATTTTCACCGCTAGAGTCGCGAGCGAAAGAGCAAATTTGCAAATAACACGACGGATATTCGGGATAGAGACCTGAAATTTTCACTAAGAGTTTTTCCAGATTCTACTTTATATACTGTTAAAATATCAGTCAGATTAGTTACGTATTGTGGACGTGTATAGTTGACAAACATGCAAACATACATACGCTGACTTATATATATAGGGATAATAATATAAATGAGTTTTAAAAATTGTAAAAAAAGAAAAAAGAAATGCATCGGCCGGGAATCGAACGAACCCAGGCCGCCCGCGTGGCAGGCGAGCATTCTACCACTGAACCACAGATGCTTATAAGAAATGGCCCTATTTGGGTATTTATTCCATTCACAAAAGCAAACAATGACAGAATTGTTGATGACTCTGATACTTGTATTTATAACTAGCAGAATGCCCGGGCAACGCCCGGGGTTTACCGGATTAAATGCTTTTATTCAAATACTATTCGTTACAATTATAAATTGGCGCCGTGGATGTCATTCTTGTATAATATATAAATGAGTTTTAAAAATTGTAAAATAAAAATGCATCGGCCGGGAATCGAACCCGGGCCGCCCGCGTGCCAGGCGAGTATTCTACCACTGAACCACCGCTGGATATGAGAAATGGCCATATTTGGGTAATTATTCCATTCACAAAAGCAAACGGTGACAGAATTGATTAAAAAAGGGTAATACCCGGGTTTTACCCGATTAAATGCTTTTATTCAAATATTATTCGTTACAATTATGAATTGGCGCCGTGGATGTCATTCTTGTGAAACGTCCTGCTCCAAACTTTGTGTCTGAGAAGCGATATTTTTATAATGAGTTGATCTTGCTTTGTGTCTTCTGCTCGAATGAATGTTTTTCTGTTAAAATTTTGTTCCTGCATACTAAAAATGAACTGGTTTCACCCGTGGTCTGCTTTTTGGAATTTTTCCGGATATAATTTTGTATCTGATAATCAAATATGATACAGCAAAATTGTCATCATCATTTTCTGAATAAAAAACAACTTTTTTTCCCAGAACCTGTCAATATATTTTTCTTGAGGTAAAATCCGAAAAATTTATTTTCCAGATTTTTCTCTATGTCCTGTTAAAACACGTTTTACATGTCCATTAGGTCAACTGATATTACCTCCCATCTTCACCGCTAGAGGCGCTGCTTGCGAGCGAAAGGGCAAATTTGCCACGCAGTTTGCAAATAACTTGTATACATACTTGTGTACATAGACCATAAATCTGTACATAGACAGGAAAAGCACATATATTTTAATAACTAGCGGATGTACCCGGCTTCGCCCAGATTTTTCTCGAGGGAATGTTTGTAGTCTAGTAATAAGAAAATATACTACACCTAAAAACTATCAGAGAAAAGAGAAACCACGGAAGGTGAACAGAAAAATGCTTACAATGGATGTTATGTTTACGATATCAAGGTAAATAAAAATAAAGATAAAATTTGCATATGTTGGTCACTATAAATTTGTATATTTGTGAGGCGAAATTAGAAACATGATAAAACAATTGGGTATTTAAAAACAAATGTAGAAATAAAAGTTGAAGTATAATAAACAATGTTAAAGATTAGTTTTAATTATTAATCAAGATTGTGTGTGAATATGTGAGAAAGATGTAATATCGTTGTTGTTTTCTTGGCCGACTGTTTTACATATGGTGTTATCTTAAAATTGCTTGTTTTGAATATTTTTTAGATTGAGATTATTAGCTAGTATGTAAAAAAATTAACTCTGTTGAAATTTAATTTTGTATTTATATATAAATAAAATTAACTCTGTTGATTTTTTTTGTATTTAATCGATAACAGCGAAGTTACGCATGTTAATGTTAGGAAATATATTTTGATGTTAAGCAAAACCTGCTCCATCTCGTTTTACATAAATGTTGAAAATTTGGTTGAAATTGATGCATTGTAACGAAAGTTTTTAGTGATGTCCACTTATGAAATTTCCATTTTATTAATATAGATATTGTCACTGAATAATTATTTTAAATAATCTGTGGTATATCATCATTAATATTTGCATATTCATCACTCCTTACGATTCTTATATATTTTACTTGTAAATAAATTGTTAGAAATAGTTTGCATTTTTATAAATAAATTATTTTTACTTAAACTTTTGTAATACTCGTTATCTCTACCGTTACAACTGGTGGAGAAGCTGGAATATTCCCTCGACGCCCGAGCCATTAGAAGAAGCCGAAGACTACAAGGACTAGAACCTGAGGAAAACATCGCTATGGTCAATCAAGAGACACAGACAAAAATGAGTGAGTACCACTTTCAACCCTTTAGAAACCCTTCTATTTTCACTGGAGAACGCAACCAGAATCCAGAAAAATGGTTGGAGTTCCATCGCGTCGCCCGCTATAACTGCTGGGATGATTCAATGTGCCTCACAAATGTTTATTTTTTTCCTCCAAGGAACAGCGCACAGATGGTAAGAAATTGTTGAAGAGAAAATTAATTCATGGGATATTTTTGTGAAAATGTTTTCTCAGAATTTCGGACATCATGTCACCCAAAAATATCAGCTCGCAGAGAACCTCAAAACTCGAGCTCAGAGGAAGGAGGAGACCATTGATTCCTACATTCAAGATGTTCTCCATCTGTGCAGAGAAGTAGATCCGGCTATGATGGAAAATGAAATAATCGCACACTTGACGAAAGGAATATCGGAGGAGATATATCAGTCAATGATCATTTTAGACATCGCAACTATCGATGAGTTCATCAAATGGTGCCGAAAAATCGAGGCTTCAAATAAAAAACGTGTAAATTAACGTGTAGTATTCGACAGACTACCGAATGTTGCTGCCATCGGTTCAGCAGACTCTGAATCAATAGGAGACTTGGTCCGACGCATCGTGCGTGAAGAGGCTCATCGCGCACTAAATCCGGAGTCAACTACCCCTGAACCTTCTTCTCTGAAAGAGATTATCCGAGAAGAGATTGAAAAAAACGTAGCTGCAATTTCGAAGCATATTCAAAGGCCTCCACCACGACAGTCGTACCCCAACCAAACACGTACATTCAACCAGGTTCCACGACGTCAGTACCCTACCCAAACACCCATATATAACCAGACGCCACCACAACGAAGAACGGATGAATGGAGGACGCATGACAACATCCCAATATGTTTTAATTGTGGCCGCCCAGGCCATGTTAAGCGATATTGTAGAGAACGCCGACAATGGACGCAGAGACCCGAAGGACATGCACCAAGCACCCAAGAACCTCAAATGGGTAACCACCAAGCCATAAGAAGCCAAACCTACCGCAGACAATCGCCGTATCCAAACAGAGGAAGATCCCCAAGACGCCAGTCCATTTCCCCAGGCCGCCATACAAGCCAATCCCCACGCCGCTACAATCTAGAAAAAAACTAAGCGTCGCGTCTTCTTTCGAGGGGGAAGCCGCGGGTGTGAAAAACCCTCCATCGTCGACAGCCGCTAAATTACAACAAAATTATGTCGAAATCATCATTGATGACATTGCGTTTTCTGCCCTAGTCGATTCAGGTTCCTCTTTTTCGGTTATCTCTGATGGATTACGACGACAATTAAAAAAGACCATGTTCAAGGATAGCGGAATGACTCTGAAAGTTGCTGATGGCAAGAATGTTACATCGATCGGCCGATGCACAATCAGCTTGAGCATCAATGGATTGGAACAGCCGCTTGAGTTTATCGTCCTCCCTAATAGTGACCCAAGTATTACCCTCGGATGGGATTTCCTAGAGGCATCAAATGCCGTGATTGATTGTGGAGGCGCCGAAATCAGATTGGAAGAGGCCAAAGATGTACTAAATTCACCAGCTTCCATGGGAAAGGTTGTGGCTAGCAGAAGCGTCGTAATCCCAGCCGAATCTACCAAACTAATAAATGTTATGAGTGAAGAGCTTAATGGGCAAAATCAGGTACTTTTTGAACCTTCGAAAAAGGTATCAATAGGAAAATGGTTAACACTTCCCTGTGCATTATTCAGGCTTTCCCATAATAAAGGAAAACTTTGGATCGTAAATTATGGCACCACAGCTCAAATAGTCCCTAAGGGAATGTGCCTGGGAAAAATTCAAAGGGTTGAAGAAAATAACTTGACGGCTATTTCAGAATGTTCTGAATTTAATAAGGAGGTGAAAGATGTGAATCATGCCAGTCATGCTGATAAAGGTGACTTTAAATTTTTACAAAATCTAATTAGTGATGATTTATCAGAGGAGCAGCATCTCAAATCTTATCAATTTTAAAGCGACATGATAAAATATTTGATTAAAATAATGAACCAGTAAAGCAAACTTCAGTAATCAAACATAAAATTGAAACTGGAATCCATCAGCCTATTAAGCATAGACCATATCGAGTCTCCCCTACAGAACGCCAAGCAATCCAAACGGAAGTGGACAAAATGCTAGACGCCGGGATTATACGTCATTCAGAAAGTCCATGGTCATCGCCGGTTATTTTAGTGAAGAAGAAGGATGGTAACTGGCGTTTCTGTGTGGATTACAGACGACTAAACAAGGTTACTAAAAAAGACGTTTACCCACTACCTCGAATCGATGATACACTTGACTCCCTGAAAGGAGCCAAATTTTATTCATCAATGGACCTTCGTTCAGGATATTGGCAAATAGAAGTCGACGAAGCAGATAGAGAAAAAACTGCCTTTATTACCCCTGACGGACTCTGAATTCCTGGTCATGTCCTTTGGCCTGTGTAATGCCCCTGCAACATTCGAGCGCATGATGGACAAGATATTGAAAGGCCTGAAATGGACGATGGCCCTCTGTTATTTGGACGACATCGTGGTGTATTCCAAATCGTTCAACGAACATTTACACCGGCTTGAAATCATACTACAATGTCTCGACAAATCCGAGCTACGCCTCAACCCCAAAAAGTGCCTTTTCGGAACCAAACGAATAAGAGTGTTTGGACACCTCGTCGATAGTAAAGGTATTTATCCCGATCCAGAAAAGATTGAAGCTATCGCCAGGTTTCCGACCCCAAAATCTATAACAGATGTGAGAAGCTTCATTGGCTTATGCTCCTATTATCGTAGATTTATCGAAAATTTTGCTGAGAAAGCTGCTCCTCTACACGAAGTCCTCAAAAAAAGATAATAAATTCACGTGGAACTCTGACCAACAGGATGCTTTTGATTCCTTGAAAAAAGCAATGATGTCTGAACCTGTTCTTGCCTATTTCGAAGAACAGCTGCCAACCGAGCTTCATACTGACGCCAGCGGTTATGGAATTGGAGCTGTCCTCGAAAAGA